GATAATTTCACTAATCAAAGTGATTTAGAAACTTATATAGTACATCTTAAATTTCATGATCAACTTTTCTCAAATTCCAAAGATGTACTTCTCTGGCATCAATCATTTTTGCCTACAAATTCGAATCACTCATCGCGCATTTTGTATTCTTATCGTCATGTGTTAAATGGTTTTGCTGCTATGTTGTCATCAGACGAAGTGAAAGAAATGGAAAAGAAGCCCGGTTTCTTGTCAGCGCATCCCCAACGAATATTTCAGTTGCACACCACACACAGTCCAAGTTTCCTTGGGTTGCACCAGAATGTTGGTTTGTGGAATGCATCAAATTCAGGTAAAGGTGTGACCATCGGTTTTATGGATACTGGAATTACTCCTCAACATCCTTCGTTTAATGATAATGGAATGCCTAATCCACCTCTTAAATGGAAAGGCAAATGTGAGTTCAATGTTACAAATTGTAGTAAGAAGCTTATTGGAGCAAGAAATTATGTGCAAGAGAAAACGTTTCCTGCAGATCAAGTTGGCCACGGGACACTTACCTCAAGCATAGCTGTGGGGAACTTTGTGGATGGTGCCAATTATTTTGGTAATGCTAATGGCACGGCTGTTGGCATTGCGCCCCGAGCCCATGTGGCCATGTACAAAGTCTGTGCGGCATATTTTTGTGGAGAATCCACTATTTTTGCTGGTTTTGATGATGCAATTGAAGACGGTGTGGATGTGATTGCCATTTCAATTGGATTAGCTGACCCCCAGCCTTTTTATGGTGATGTTGTAGCTATTAGCTCGTATAGAGCGATGGAGAAGGGGATTTTTGTAAGTTCCTCTGCAGGAAATGATGGACCAGGTAGTGGTACTGTGATGAATGGGGCCCCGTGGATTCTCACAGTTGGTGCTAGCACAACAGATAGAAAGATAAGCGCTGTTGCAGTTCTGGGTAACGGAGCTGAATATGAAGGTGAATCATCCTTTCAACCAAAGAATTTTTCGCAAAAATTGTTACCACTTGTGAATGGCAAGGGATGTGAATCATTGAATTCAAGCAATGTCAAGGGTAAAATAGTGGTGTGTGATAGAAGCGGTGCCTGGGCTAGAATAAGCCAAGGAAGATTAGTGAAACTTGTCGGTGGTGCTGGCATGATTCTCATTAATAATAAGAGACATGGCTCTACAACATTCTCAGAATATGATGCCGTTCCCACGACACAGGTTAGTTACAAGGATGGACAAGAGATCATAAACTATATGAAATCAACATCAACACCAGTTGCAACGATATCATTTAGGGGAACGACATTTGGAGACAAGCACGCGCCAACAGTTACTTACTTTTCTTCTAGGGGACCATTTATGCTGAGTCAGGGCATACTAAAGCCAGACATTATTGGCCCTGGATTGAATATCCTTGCAGCGTGGCCAAAGCCTATAGCAGGACAGATGTTTGAGCTCCTTTATGGAACGTCCCTGTCTTGCCCTCATCTTGCAGGAGTTGCAGCATTGTTAAAGAACGCACATCCAAATTGGTCTCCAGCTGCAATTAAATCCGCAATCATGACCACAGCTGACATCGTCAATCTTGGAAACGATCCAATTCAGGACGAGACACTAGAACCTGCTGATCTATTTGCAGTCGGATCAGGACATGTGAATCCACCAAGAGCAAATGATCCAGGACTCATTTATGACATCCAGCCCGAAGATTACATCCCATACTTATGTGGCTTGAACTATACAGATGATCAAGTCAGTATCATTGTAATAAAGAAGGTACATTGTACAAAAAGCATACCTCAATCAGAGTTGAACTATCCGTCATTTTCTATTCCTACGGAAGCAAGTGCTCAAACTTATACAAGGACTGTGACTAACGTCGGAGAAGCAAGTTCAGCTTACAAAGTTGAAGTATTTGGGCTCAAAGGCGTCGAGGTGACTGTTCAACCTAAAATCTTGAAATTTACAGCGTTGAATCAGAAGGTGTCGTATAATGTAACAGTTAAGTCATCAGATCTTACAGGACATTTCCAAGGATACATAATTTGGTCTTCTGATAGGCATTCTGTTAGAAGTCCAATAAAAGTATTTCCCCATATCAGTGTGATGTAATTCATTGGATTTGTTATATGAAAAAAATTGTCATTATAAATGAAAAAGAAATTATGGAGAAGTAACAAGTAATTATAGAACTGTCATTTTTAATCTCTCTTTAGCTACTTGTGAGTCAGCATTCATCACAAGAATACAAGTGAATGATATAATTTAGAAGAAAAGATAAACCTCACACGACCTCAACTAATTCAGATTTGCATTTTGTAAGGCCAATTAAAAGAAAAGTGCTCTCTAACATAACTTTTTACTATACATATGGCTTGAAATTTGAATTTGAGGCCTCGTCATCTTTATTCTTATACGACAAAGTATGAAGTTATAATTTTGTTAATACTTCTTAAAGGCTACTCGTTAATTAGCATTCATCTAAGGGATACTAGTGCGTGAATGATAATTTAGAAGAAATGATAAACCTCAATGGGACTTGACTCGATTAATCTAGATTTGCATTGCTCAAGGCTAATTAAGAAAAAAAACTTTGTAACATAAATTTTTTTTTTGACACATGGCTTATATTCGGAGCCACATTATCTTTATTCTAATATAAGACAAGTATGAAGTTATAATTTGTTAAACTTCTTAAAGGTCATTCTCAAGTTATAAAATGCAAATAGACTCAATTAATCAAGATTTGCATTGCGTAAGGCCAATTAAAAGAAAAATACTCTCTAACATAGCTTTTTTTTTTATACACATGACTTGTATTTGAGGCCTCATCACAAATAGCTATTCATTTCTTGACGTGTATAGTTTGGGGTCACAAAAAGAGTAATTTCAAATGAAGTGTAGATTATATACATGTAAAGAATTTACTAAAGTTATTCATTAAAGTATAAAAGTATACTAAAAAAATATAAAATGCAAATAGTTATTCATAAAAGTACTAAAAGATTATGTTGAGAGTGGGATTTGAACCCACGCCCTTTCGGACCCGAACCTTAATCTGGCGCCTTAGACCAACTCGGCCATCTCAACAATTTGTTGAGTATATTATATGTAATTTATATAGACATCAAATTTTAAAACTTATAAATATTCAATTATTCATATGTAAAATAATTAAAGCTAAGGAAAAGTTAAGAAGTAAAGAAAATTGAAAAGAGAGAAAAACAAAAGAGGAAGAAGATTAAAAAGCTTGGAACCTCCTCATAGGTCCCTACAATGTACTAATCGAATGTAGATATTGAACATCGAAAAAAAATGCATTTTTTTAATTTTCTAAAAACCTAGTCAGACATACAATAAGAAAATATTTGATCAAGTTAATAAGCTAATCAAACAAACTTATAAGTACATTTTAATGTATTACGTATTTAATAAACATCAAAATATTTACCCATTACATAATTATAAATTAAAATCAATTTATAACTCATAAGTGACAATATTTCACACAAGGCAACCATTGAACTCTTGATTTTAGTACACGGGAGGAGGAAATGGGACAGGAAAAGAAATTGCATCTATGTTTAGTATGGAGAAAAATATTTGTCATCTATATTTTAGGAAAAATAAATGAGTTTTTTATTTAGTATTATTTTGTATTTGATAATTAAACAGAAGAGATATTTCTAAAATATTTATATATAATCTAGATAAATACCATAAAATATGAAGGTGGAGGTGGAAGTGGAAGTGAAGGTAGGGGCGGATACTACGAGAGTGATAGTAAAAATAAGGGTGTGTCAGAGATTGAGAATGACACCATTATAAAATATATATATATATATATATATATATATATATATATTAAAAAACCATTAGAAAAGTTATGTTCCTTATTATTAAGAAATTTATTTTCATAATAAATTGTTCATATTAACACATTGTTAGTTTAGTATGAGAAACATTTATAAGGAGTAGAATATAAGTACAATACTAATCCGATATTTTATGGCCTTAAATCAAATAAATGGAATATGTAGTCGTTTGATTATTGATTAAAGACTAAATTTATACAAATATTTAGTAACAAATTTCAATTGATTTTTTGTTTGAAGTTATAATTTTTTATTCTAGCTATAGATTCACTTCAACTTTTTCATCCTTTAATATTGGCAAATTCTTTTTTATTTTATATTTTGTGTTTGATTTCCATATAGGATCTTTAACCAAATTCAAATCGCGCACAATAAAACTCATTCTAGAAGTGATGGCCCAACATTCAACATCTTTAATTTAGGGTGAAGCAGTCTCAATACTTATTGGACCACAACTGATGTTGGTTTCACGAATTCATTTTCAATAGCTTACATATATCGAGGGTAGAATTGTTCAAAATTGAACCAACACCAATAATCCAAACTGGAAAAAAAAAAGTTATTAATTTATCGATATAATTTGTTATTGGTTTAGCAATTTTGGTAACCGTTTGATTTTTTTTAATTATCGAATTATTGATTCTTAACGGTTAGAGGTTTTTGTTTAACGGGTTAACCAATACCCGAATAGTAAATAAAATAATATTTATACCATTTGATATATATAGAAAAAATGACTTAAGAGTTCAATTTCATATTTTTATTTCTGGTTATCTCAAACTCTCGATTATTCCACAATATGACAGTGTTTGCTTTTGAACAAGATGCAATGTGTCAACTCATTAACATGGTTCATTTAATTTGTCACCTTGTTTCTAATTAATTTTCAATTTTTTTTAATATCAAATCTTAACATTTAAATTGATAACTAAATCGATAATGATTTAATAAGTCAATATATTAATAATTCTATAATGATCTAATATGCCTACAAACCGATAATTAATAAGCTTAAAACCGAACCAATCGATACCCGGCCCTCATCGTGGGAAAACGTCAAGAGATCCATCGGAACCCATCCAACGGTTGTAATTATATTACCTTTCTCTACAAATTCGTGGCGTATCTTCTCACTACTCTCACAAACAACCAACACCTTCGAACGCATATCCCAAACTCATACCTTATTCATGGCAACTATCAAGTCCGTCAAGGCTCGTCAGATCTTCGATAGCCGTGGTAATCCAACGGTTGAGGTTCGTTCTTCTTCAGATCTCCTTCGATTTCAGCATTTTTCCATGTTTTCTGTATTACATTGTTCGTTTTTCGATCCGATTCTGATGGTTTTTTGATAGTTTACTTTTTGTTTGCTGTGTACATGTTTTAGGTTGATGTTCATCTGTCAAATGGCGTCTGGGAGAGAGCTGCGGTTCCTAGTGGCGCATCAACAGGTGAAAATCTGTTTATATTCGTTGTATTAGTTGATTTTATTTTTTTTGCCTTAAAACTGAATGTACTGGTTTGGTAGTGTTTATACAGACATGCAAAGCCAATGATTAAGTTTTGTGTTTTAAAGTGATGATTTGTTTAATGTTTGTCTCATTTTTCGGTGGGATTAGGCTGGTGTGAGTATGGTAGCGCACAGTGTCTGTCGTAGTACTAGTTCGTATACTTGTAGTTTCTTGTTTTTGACATTTGTTTCCATCTGTTGTCTATTGCATTTCAGTTTACAGTGTTATTTCATTGTTGTTGTTGTTGTTCTTTTGTGTGTAGGCTCTGTACTACTTTCCTTATTAATTGACATGTTTTATTTCCTTTTTCATAACTATTTTGATTTGCTGCACCACACTCTATCCTACGTAGAATCCCACTTTTGGGATTACACTGGGTATGTTGTTGTTGTTGTTTCTTGGTTGATGTCATCCTTTACGTGTTATGAGTTTCTGTTTGGCTGTTTAAGTAAGAAAAGTGGCCAACCTTTGGTCTCTTTAAAGGAAAATTTCTTTAATATCAATGTTTTCCAAGGAATCTCTTGAAATTTGAACCATTCGCATCTAGAAGGATATTGCATGACAATGCACTGTTTTTGATTGGCTTGATCCTATTACCGGTTGTAGCACCTTTTGGCTGGTGAAGAGATATATTATTAGATGTTGTTAAGTGCCACTGATCCAAGAATAACATGGTTCAGTTTGGATGAAATGCAACGTATGTGTTTTATTTCTTGAGATTGTTGATTGGTAGCTCCTTCTCTGACTATCTTGAATTAAATGTCTTCATTCATTTGATAGGAATATATGAAGCCCTTGAATTGAGAGATGGAGGGTCTGAGTACCTTGGGAAGGGTGTTTCAAAGGTTGGTATTGCATCTCAAAACACGTAATTGGTTGATTTTACCGTTCACTGCAAACTGCTCGTTTACCTTTTTCCACCCATGTAGGCCGTAAACAATGTCAACTCAATCATTGGCCCTGCTCTTATTGGCAAGGTATGCCTCCTCTTATAATTTCTTTTACCTTTGGAAAAGATGTTTCTTGCAAAAATGTTCTGATGGTTATTTGCTTGGTGTGAAGGAATACCATAATGCTTCCTATTAGTGTAGTGGGCAATGAGAGTTGTTTTTATGCATGATATGTGAGGTGTGTTTTCTTGCTTTGTAGGACCCGACTGATCAGACTGGTCTCGATAACTACATGGTTCATCAACTAGATGGAACTCAAAATGAGTGGGGTTGGTGCAAGCAAAAGGTATACAAGCAGAAGCTTAACTTTAGGTCACATGTAACTATCAGAAGTGCACAAATTACCAATTTACCTGTGTTGGCCTTTTTTGACAGCTTGGTGCAAATGCCATCCTTGCTGTGTCACTTGCAGTCTGCAAAGCTGGTGCTGCTGTCAAGAACATTCCGCTTTATAAGGTATATCACCCAAAAAAAAATTATGGAGTTCAATGTTCACTTTTGCCAGTAATCTACTCTTTAAATCTTCTGTTGCCAATTAAGCCGAGTCCAAATGAAAGAGATTGACCCAATTCCTTTATCCATTTCTTCTTCGATCTTCAATGTGGGAACATTTTTATATTTTGAATTTATTATTCAAATATGAGGGTAGCTTTCTACTGTTTTAATTTTGGCATTGATACTATTTCTATTACTATTCTATTTTAGTTCTCCATCATGGCAATTTATTTGCCCAAAAAGGAAATAGAGAACATCCAAGTCTACATTCTCTTCTTTACTTATATCTGGCTAGAAAAAGTTATCTGATTGGGTGTTACAATTTGAGTTGCCTTCTCTTTGCAGCATATTGCCAATTTGGCGGGTAACAAAAAGTTGGTTTTGCCTGTTCCTGCTTTCAACGTCATCAATGGTGGGTCCCATGCTGGAAACAAACTTGCAATGCAGGCATGTATTTTCTCCTGCTTAAAGATGTAGTTAAATGATGCTTAGATAAAAGATTACTAATTAGTTGTTATTTGCAGGAATTTATGATTCTTCCTGTTGGAGCTTCTAGTTTTAAGGAGGCCATGAAGATGGGCTGTGAAGTGTATCACCATTTGAAGGTTTCACACAGTTGTTCTAGCTTCTATTCCCTTAGTATTTATTTGTTTCAAAGTCAAAACATAGAGGATAAGTTGTTCTTTTCTTTTCCTTTTTCTTTCTTTGAGGTCCATAAGGCTAGAAAATACAGTGCTCCCTATGCCAAATTTTATGTGATGGTCTTTCCTTTTTAGTTTCTCACTGAAAGACTGTTACCTTTCTATATTAAGAAACTATGTAATCTATCCATCTTCATTTTACCTTTACTAAAATAACTTTTAGATTCCATTTGATGGAAAAGTTCTACCTTTTCTCAGTTGAGAGAATAGTAAAAAATATGCACAACTGTCGTGACCTCTCACTTAATTGTTGGTGCTAACTATAATTTTGGTATTTTGCATATTCTTAGCTTATGTGTCAAAAGTCTTTATTTCTTGAACTCCATGCACATCCAAATTATGCTGCATAAAATGGGACCAAGGGAGTATTTAAATTTGTTGATATGACATCCTTTTTCTTTTATTTCTATCAGTAGCTGATGACAGTTTACTCTAATTCTAGGCTGTGATTAAGAAGAAATATGGCCAGGATGCAACAAATGTTGGTGATGAGGGTGGTTTCGCTCCTAATATCCAGGTGAAGTATAAATTTATGCTGATGAATGGCATACTGTTGAATGGTTACCCTTTTACATCACGTGACTATGGCTTTTGAAAATTCAGGAGAACAAGGAGGGTCTTGAATTGCTCAAGACTGCCATCGAAAAAGCAGGCTATACTGGAAAAGTAAGCTCTCAACTGCGTTTAAATCAGACCTTTTTCCAACTGCTTTTAATAATATAGAAGCTAAGATTATTTTCCTTTTAGGTTGTTATTGGAATGGATGTTGCAGCATCTGAATTCTATGGAAAGGACAAAACTTATGATTTGAACTTCAAAGAAGAGGTTCTTTCTGACTATGCCTATTAGTGCATTCAAACTGTAATATTAGTGGCTTTCTTTCACTATCAGTTGACAGTTACAGGTTTTATCTCCATAAAGAATGTTGGACTGGATTTTCTGCGTTAACATGAATCTGTAATCTTGATGGTTTTGAAGCCACGTAAACTTAAAATTGGTAACTGATAAATTAGGCCTTTTTGATCATCTCTTTTGGTGAAAAACCTTTCTCAGAACTCAGCAATAGAGATTAATCAGTAATAACTAATAACCACTAACTACCTACTTGGGAAATGGATATTCATATGAGCTGGAAATTATAGGACTCTTTATTGAGGTAGTTTCGTGTCTGATTTATTATCTAATCTGATTTGCTTCAATTGTTTCATCTTTGCAGAACAACAATGGCTCCCAAAAGATCTCAGGTGACCAGCTCAAAGATTTGTACAAGTCATTTGTGTCTGAGTACCCTATTGTTTCGATAGAAGATCCATTTGACCAAGATGACTGGGAGACCTATGCTAAGCTCACTGCTGAAATTGGGGAGAAAGTACAAATTGTAGGAGATGACCTTCTTGTCACCAATCCTAAGGTAAAACTGAAGTGTTATACAACTAGTTGTCATTTTCTTGCTTAGAGCTGCATGCTTAGATGTTCCATCATTAAAGAAAATGGGTAGAGCACCTGGTTTTTGTGTGTATGAGTTACTTTCTTAATGCTTTTGGAAACCATATAATTATTAGTTGTATCTGTGCAGAGAGTTGCCAAGGCAATCAGTGAAAAGACTTGCAATGCACTTCTTCTTAAGGTACTTGTCACATCATCTAAGTTTGCCATATTGCTGTTATGTCCTCTTAATTTGGAGTTCACACTGCTGCAATATTTCATTCTGATTTTGTGTGCAGGTTAACCAAATTGGCAGCGTGACTGAGAGTATCGAAGCTGTGAAAATGTCTAAGCAAGCTGGTTGGGGTGTAATGACTAGCCACCGCAGGTAAGGAGATCATGATCCTCTGGAATAAGCTTTCAGAAAGAGGAAATTCAGTTATGCTTTGTTGTTTAAGACACTTGTTAATGATCTTTGGTTATTTGGTGCAGTGGAGAGACGGAGGATACCTTCATTGCTGATCTTGCTGTTGGTTTGTCAACGGTAATTTTGTAAATGCACTTTTGTCTAATCTAATTTATAGAGTCAACTCGGAGTAGTCTTTGGTATCAATTGTGTATTTCCCGGATTCTTGTAGGGACAAATCAAGACTGGAGCTCCCTGCAGATCAGAACGTCTTGCAAAGTACAACCAGGTACTTACCCTAATAGTACAGTTTACTTTGATGGTATTACTATTTTCGGGCGCTTCTTTCTGTAGTCAGTTCTGATTTCTCATTCATTCCATCAGCTCTTGAGAATTGACGAGGAACTTGGTTCAGATGCTGTATATGCCGGAGCAAGCTTCCGCACCCCTGTTGAACCGTACTAACTAGGACTCTCTTGGGCTGACCAAATTCCCAGTGTGGAAATGGTCATTCTAGGACCTGTGATCGATTTTCACATTGCAACTTTTAACAGTTATGTTCTGATGTTTTGAGCCTTGACAATTCTGAACTGAGAAAAAGTTCTCGTAGGCAGAGCATATCTTATTTCTGAGTTTTGACTGCTGGGAATGCAGTTTGTAGTAGTACTTAAAGATTTTTGATGTTTTGGTTTTGCCATCACAGTTTTTTCCTTGCTATATTGTAACACATTGTGGATTATACCCCAATCCACTGATAGTGCCTTTCATTAATTGAGTCGCCATGATGAAAACAACATATTCGGTGAAATTCTACTTGAGATGTTGATGAATTCAATTGCGTCTGTTTCATCCTATGATGTAAGAACAAAACTTTTCATGAATAGAATTACAGTTAGGCATTGGAATCACTCTGTCATAATTCATTTACAAAATTTATGTCCATGCATTGGAACCACTCTCTTCATAATTCTTTTTTGGTAAAATTGAAATTATATATATATATTGTTAACGTTTGAAGAAATTACATGTCTTTCGCGAGTATTATTGAAAAAATAAATGAGGCCACAAAAGACAATTATTGAAAGTTACATGGATCTGTTTGTCTTTATCCTAAAATCTTGTTTTAAGGAAAATGTAAAACAAGGGAGGTTTTAGCAATATCTCGCCGCAACAGTGTGTTACTAACCGTGTCCAAAATGGTATTTGGATGACTCAATTGGTTTGGAGGATGGTTATCCACATGGATGATTTTAAATTGATTCCCCTTCAATGTTTGTTGAATCAAGTTTGTTGCATAGAGCTTGCCAAGTACGGTTTTCATTTTGTTGCATAGGACTTGCCAAGTACGTTTCCATTCTATATGTGATTTGCAGGTTATTGCACAATGAGGGCTCACCCAATATGCACAAAGTGCTCACTCAAAGAATAGAGGTTGTGACAGAGAGTGTAGCGATTGCGGTTTATGTGAGACATGCCTTATACCTTTATCCCAATATACTTGATACAAGTTTTGTACTGTAAATAATAAATTTAAATGACACATATATTATTGGATTTTCTATGTGTAATAAAATAAAAATCAAAACATACAAAATAAAAGTAATTACTGATATTTTAATTAGGAATTAATCTAAGGAAATGCAAAAGTCATTAACATTTTAATTAAAATGATATGATTTAATATTTAAATTAAATAGTTAAATGTTTTATAGCATTTTAATTTATAGTAGGATAAACCGTAATTCAATTTTTAACTTTTTTTGTTCCTACTTATAGATTGATATGATATGGTGATGCATGAAAAATAAAAACTAAATTGATACATATATTGAATTGCATCATAATCAACTCAAATGCCACTAGAAGTCACAAAACCTTGCTTCGACTCAAATACACATACATAAAGTAAGGGGAAAAAATAAACTTGTTATAATTTAGTTACATAAAGAAACATATTTTATTTGGATATGTCAAAATGGAATTTTTTTTATTAAGAAGAATTCTAACAAAACTTGATGTTGCAATATACTTAAACTAATTCTTCTTTGGAAAGATTAAAGCTTCTAAAATGAAAAAAAAATATATCTAAAAAATCTATCATAATTTCAATATTAACATTTTCCTTCCTTTTTTTCTTCTTTTCAAATGATGTTTTTAGGAAGCCTAAGATCATCCATTAGCTATTGTCTCTGATGATGACAGAAGTCTTCTGAACAAAATTGTTGAGTTCGATTGGATTAGTTTAATTAATTAATTTTCGAGTTTAATTAGTTGGATCATAACAAACCATCAGTTGATGGTAGAGTGGTGGACACCCAGAGAAGACCAATTTTGATTGGCACTGGGTTTGTATTCTAGGGCTTCCCCTCCAGCCCTAAAATAATGAAACAGCCAAGATTACCATGTAAGATATGCCTTTTACACCAAAATCACAACTTTTTCGCAATATAAGTCATGTTTGTATTATAATATACCATAAGTTATGAAGTAAAAGGAATAGTAAGTTATGGCAATGCCCCTCATATTGAAATAACAAATAGCTTTCCCATGATATAAGTTTACATGTTCGTATCATAATATTCCACAAGTTATGTGTATGTCGGGAGCCGGGAGGGCATAATGCAAAAAATAAAATAAAAGTTATGTAAACTTATGCGGAGCGAATTAGGTCTGGACAGATATATTTTGGTCCTCCAAATTTTCATAAAATGAGAAGCAGGAGCAATAATTAAACACCAGTCTGTTTGAAGGGCAATACGATGTAAAAACTTGATTTGAATGTGACTTCCTTTTTGGTATCCTTATTTTCTTGTAGCAGAATGTCATTCATTAGAAATAAAAACAACACACAAATTATTTATTTAAAGGATGATTAGCTGTTAATCCAAAAAAAAATACATTCTTTATTCAAATTATTGTCTATGAATTATTCTCTTTCTTGTAGAGGCCGGCAAACAACAAGCAAAATAATACTTCTGCAAGAAATTTGAGAAGATTTTGGTGTATAGAGGAAAAAAACAACTTTGTAAAGAGCATTGCAACGATGGCCGATCTTGTAATTGGTGCTACTGTTAAAGTTGTGCTTGATAAACTGCTTTCTCTCACTATTGAGGAGGCCAAGAGTTTAAGGAACTGCAAGAAAAATCTAAGAATTCTGACAAAATATGTATCCATGATTCAAGCTCTCATTCATGATGCTGAAAGACGACAAGTTGATGATCAGGCTGTTGAACAATGGCTCAAGATGCTTGAGAGAGTTGCTGAAGATGCTGAAAACGTGTTTGACGAATTCAGATATGAATATCTCAAAGCACAAGTCATGAACATCCGAACCAAACTAATGGAAAAGGTCAGCAGCTTCTTTTCTCATACTGCTTTTAAGTACAAAATGTCGCGAAAAATAAACAACATCAATGAAGAGTTGAAGGCTATCAATCAGTTAGCCAATGACCTCGGTCTCAAACCACTGATGGTTCCTTCTCAGAAAATACTTCCAATTCGAGAAACAGATTCCTTAGTTGTTGCTTCGGATGTTGTTGGTAGAGACAAAGATGTTGCTGAAATAAAAGAGAAGATTTTGAACATGAGAAAGGATGTTGTTCTGTGCACCATTCCCATAGTGGGTATGGCGGGTTTAGGGAAAACAACTGTGGCTAAGAGAATTTTCAATGATGAACACATCAAGCAGCAGTTCGAAAAGAGAGTTTGGTTGTGCCTACCTGAAATGTCAGAAACTAAGAGCTTTCTTGAACAAATCCTTGAATCATTGACAGAGAGGAAAGTTGAGGTTCAAAGGAGAGATTTAATAGTTAAGAAGCTACAAGATGAATTGGAAGGAAAAATGTATTTGCTTGTCCTAGATGATATGTGGCGTGTTGACTCTATATCGTGGCATGAGTTCATGGACACCTTGAGAGGAATAAATACATCCAGAGGAAACTGCATTCTTATGACTACTCGTATGAAGCAGGTGGCATCCATAGTAGCAGAAGATCTTCATATGTTGCGAAGATTAGCAAGAGATCATTGTTGGTCCATTTTCAAACAAAGAGCGTTTGTTGATGGGGAAGTTCCGCAGGAAATAATGAGCATGGAGAACAAGATAGTTGAAATGTGTCAAGGTCTACCATTGGCTGCAAGTGTGTTGGGAGGCCTCTTATGCAACAAGGAAAAACATGAATGGCGGGCAGTTCTTAATGGCAATCCCCTTGTTGCGGGGGAAGATGATAACGGGGAAAATAGCATAAAGAAGATCCTAAAACTCAGCTATGATTATCTACCATCTCCACATCTGAAAAAGTGTTTTGCTTACTTTGCCATTTTTCCAAAAGATTTTGAGTTTGAAAAGGACCAGCTTATCCAACTCTGGATGGCAGAAGGTTTTCTCTGTCCATCTCAAGAGACCACTTTGATGGAAGACGTTGGGAACAAGGCTTTTCAACTTTTGTTGCAAAATTCCTTGCTGCAAGATGTTAAGCTAGATGATCTGAACAATATAACACACTGTAAGATGCATGATCTTGTGCATGATTTGGCTGGAGATATTTTAAAGTCTAAACTATTTGATCAAAAGAGTATTGGAGGAGAAAATCTTTCTCAAGTCCGATACTTTGGATGGGACTCACCAAGTGATCAAATAGATAAGATAAACGAGTCAGGACGTTTGTGCACATTGTTCTGGAAAAGAATTATATCTGAAGAACTGTTGTTGAGCTTTCAGTTCTTGAGAGTTTTAAATTTGTCCAGGTCAGGCATCAAGGTATTGTCAGCCAAAATCGGCAAGCTAATATACTTGAGATATCTTGATCTCTCCAGCACTGAGATCAAAGCATTGCCCAACTCCATTTGCAAGCTCTACAATTTGCAAACATTGAGAATCAATAGCTGTTTCTCACTTAGGAAGCTTCCAGAAGAAATGGCAAATATGATAAGTTTGAGACACATATATTGCATCTATCATTACCCAACATATCTTTATTTTGCGGGTCGGAGATCAAGGTTTATAGGTAATTATCAGTTTCAGATGCCACTTAATATGGGGCAATTGACTAGTCTTCAGACGCTACAGTTTTTCTATGTAGGTTTAGCGAAAGGTCGTCGAATAGAAGAATTAGGTCATTTGAAAAACCTTAGAGGTGAATTGACAATCAAACATCTCCAATTAGTCGTAAATAAAGAAGAGGCTCGAACAGCATATTTACAGGAGAAACCAAATATCTACAAGCTGACATATTTATGGACCCATGATGAATCAGAAGGCTGTGAGATCAATGATGAGCATGTGTTGGATGGTCTTCAACCGCATCCGAACTTGAAAACCTTAGCAATAGTGGACTATTTTGGGACTAAATTTCCTTCATGGTTCAGTGAAGGATTGCTACCAAATTTGGTCAAGTTGAAATTAAGTGGCTGCAAAAGGTGCAAAGAAATCCCATCACTTGGCCAACTGAAGTTCCTTCGGCATCTTGAACTGATAGGATTCCTTGAATTGGAATGCATTGGATCTACATTTTATGGCGTTGATGTTAATGATAATGGATCAAGCAGCAATAATGGCAATATCCAAGTGTTCCCATCACTGAAAGAACTAGTATTGCAGAATATGAATAGCCTTATTGAGTGGAAGGGTGATGAAGTTGGAGTTAGAATGTTTTCTGCGCTTGAGAAGTTGAGGATCACAAAGTGTCCACTGTTAAAAGGTACCCCACGTCAATTGGAAATCCTCCGTGAATTAAGCATTGAAGGAGTTGACAGTGAAATGCCATTGTTGAACTTGTGTAGCAACTTGACATCTCTGGTAAAGCTTACTGTGAATGATGTGAAAGAGCTCACTTGTCTTCCTGATGAGATGCTACGCAATAACCTTTCTCTTCAACAACTATTGGTCACACACTGCAGAGAGTTTCGTGAATTGCCCCAAAGCCTGTACGATCTCCATTCTCTTGAGAGCTTACAAATATTCTTCTGCCCCAATTTCAGTTCTCTTCCTGTTCCCAGTGTAGAGAATCGTTTGACTTCCCTCCAAAGTCTTGATTTATCACTGTGTTTTGGATTGACCAGTTTACCAAGTGGAATGCTAGAGCATTGTCGGTCTCTACAGACTTTGAAGGTCAGCTGCTGTGACAACTTAGTTTCCTTGCCTTTACACGTATGGGAAATGCCTTCAATTTCATATTTGGGTTTATCAAATTGTCCCAAGTTGATTAGTGTACCCACAGGGGGCCTTCACCACCTCACAGGGTTAAAGGTATTGGAAATTGGTCCTTTCTCAGAGATGGTGGATTTTGAGGCATTCCAATTGATTTTTAATGGCATTCAACAGCTATCGTCCCTTCATACATTGGAGGTGTATGGATGGACGCGTTGGGATTCTCTGCCTTATCAGCTTATGCAACTCTCTGCCCTAACAAAGATCCATATACATGATTTCGGAATTGAGGCTCTTCCTCATAGACTTGACAACCTTACTTCTCTTGTAACATTACATCTAATGGGGTGCAAAAGGCTACAACATGTGGACTTCTCAGATGTCATGCCCAAATTACGGTATCTGGAGATCCGTTATTGTCTATTGTTAGAAGGTCTGTCGGATGGGCTTGGCAACCTTGTTTCTTTGAAAGAATTAAGTTTACGTAACTGCGAAAAACTACAACATCTGCCATCCAGATATGCCATGCTGCGCCTCACTAAATTATGGAAACTAATAATTAATGGCTGCCCGCAGTTAGAAGAAAGTTGCACCAATCGGAGTAGCCCAAACTCCCAGTGGTCCAACATTTCCCATATTCCAAAAATTGAAGTAGGCGGGAGGATAATTCAGAACTTACGTAAGTCTCTGTTTCTCTTTCACTTTTTGATCTGTAAAATTTTTAAATATTATTTTCCCCGAGTTCCAGAAAAGAAGTTATGCATGTAGTTTAACATTTTTTCTGCAATTATTTTGACATTAAAAATTGCAAAATTATTAATGAATTGAATTTGTGCTATGCTTTCAGCATTCTGCTTGTCCGCTTGAACTGAATTGTTCTTTCTTCTAATTGATGCTTTCCTCCATATAATTCTTCTTCACTTTTCTTTTGCCAGACCTTCGATCCATAATATTGATGCGAAAACTTAGGACTTGTATGGACTCCTTTTTCCTTTTTAATTTTCAGGGGACAGATTGGAACATTTTGTTAGAGAGGTTTATATAAGTTTCTTAATAGACATTCTCGTTACTTTCACTTTCATTAAAACTCCTGCGATTGAAGGACTTCAACAAAGAAAGTTACAAAAGACTGCTATTTATTGAATCTTATAGCAAAGAGTGTCCCATTGGCTCTAAAAATGTCCTTAGCAGTATCTGTTCATCTTAATAGGTCGCTGATTCTCCATTCTCGAAGATGAACATGTGTGTGAAAACTGACTTTTACTGTTTCCTGTGTTTCAGATTGATGGTTGAAACAACGGCATGGACGTCTTATCTAAATCGTAGACTGGAAAAGATTTGACAGCAGAGGAGGCCTTTCTTGCACAATGTTCATGCTGTACCTGCCTTTCTTACAGCCCTCTTGGATTTTGTTTGTGCATAATAAACAAAAAAAAGTAATATAGTTTTATGTCATTTTAAGTAACTCCTACTCTCTAGAAAAAAACTGAAACCTAACTTTGATTAATCCAAAAACCTAAATATTATAGCTTTAATGTTTGTCTTAATTGATTGATGTTCCATGCTAGTAAATATTCTTTACAAAGCATTTCATATTTTGCCCAAGCAAAATAAAAAATAAAAAAATAGGTAAGCAGATTACAAGGTAGGTGGAAAATCGAACTCTTACCAACAAGGTGAAAGTTCATATAGCAGAGGATTCTTGCGCTTTTGACTTGTCTAATCAAGTGCGATGGAGAATTGTGTTGTGGGAAAAAATTGGAGATCATGGAGTTGGCTTGAGCTTCTTGAATATTTCTCTATCAAAACTTATTTAATTGAGGGGAAAGTTATCCATTTAGTCAATCAGACAAATATAATTATATCTGCTAGTCAAATATATAAAAAAAAAAGATATACACTATTTTGTAAGTATTAAAATAGGCGGAATGAATTTTGGAACACGACAATGTTTAATATTTTGGGACTCAAAAAGTAAAATATTTTTGTACAATATTAAAATAGGCTGAATGAATTAATATTACAAAAGTACAATATTAAATTTGAAAATTTATGTTTGTAACTTTTTTTGGCCTAAAAGTACAGCAATAACATATTTAGTGAAATTCCACAAATAGGGTCTGAAAAGGTTAAAGTGTATGCAGACCTTACCAACACCGTAAAAAATAAAAAATAGAGAAGCTTCAAACTCAAAACACTTAGGGTGTGTTTGGTAGGAAGGAAAATGTTTTCCTAGAAAACAAGTAGACTTTGGACTTGTTTTCTCATGTTTGGTTGGCGAGTAAAAAATATTTTCTGGAAAAGATTTTTTAGTGTTTGATTTATGAATGAAAAATATTTTTGAGAAAATATCTTTTATTTTTACTAGAGAGTAGAAAATAACTTTTGAATTGAAACTGAAAATACTTTTTAAAATTAAACTTAAATTTTTTTGGGGGGAGG